TAATTTCAGTTTGTTTTTAGACTGATCGTTATTGTTCCAAAACAAGCACCGTGTATACATCAATGGTCACACTATATTTTGTCATGGGACTGGTCACGTTATGGATGTTTGTGGAATATTGCTATGTTCAAATTGGCTGCTCATTCACCTACTAAAATACAGTCACTACACTTTACAGTAAAACAGTTACACTACAGTTATTTCACAGTTTTGCCCATAAAAGACAGTCACTCCACTTTACAATATATTATGTGAAGCGCTTTGAGACATCTCAACTATGTGATAAGGTGCTATATCAAATCCAAGGATTATTATAAAAATTCTGTAAAACAATTTGAACTGTTTTGACAATATGATAAGGTCTATATCAATGCAATGACTGTTGTTACTATTTGGAATATCACAGGGTACATGTTTAAACCTAAAACTATAGAGAATATCGGAACTCTGGGGCATAAGTTTAAAATGTAAAAATGTCTCAAACAAGACAACAAACAAATTTGTGGCCTCAGAGCAGGGGATATTTATAACATATTCTTCATTAAACAGGATGTTGCTGTGCTGATTAACTACTTCAAAAAAGAAGTGATTAAGTATCTGAATTAAGTAGTTAGATGATATAGGGATAAGGTCTAGCTGAGATCATAAGAATAATAATCCTTGGATTTGATATAGTGGCTTATCACATTGTCAAGACGTCTCAAAGCGCTTCACTGGATACACGGTAAAATGCAGTGACTGTACTTTGTTGGCAAATGTGGCAGCCAATATGCACGCAGCAGTGTCCCACAAACATGAGGTGAGTGACCAATTTTATTTTGTGGCCAGGATATCGTGAGATGTACAAATACGAACAAGGGATGTTTGAGGTGAAAACAGTGAGTTTTATTAACAGCAGTGAGAGAGAAGATATCAACAAACAGTTGAGAAGTGCCCTGAAGCATCTGGATGAACCAGAAGAAATATTACAACAATGCCAAGCTGTTCACGCATGCACAGCATGTCATTAAAATGTTTTTATCTTCACTTCCTGAATAACGGTCTGAAAAACTTTTGGCAAGTTTCCTGACTCCTCCCGCCTCTGTTTACCTAGCAGTAAGTGGGAACCTGGTTGTTATATTAATTGGTGGATTGCTTTTCGGAGTAATATCCCTTAAAAAAATTGGTCACTCAATCCATGACTGTTTGTGGAACATTGCTGTGCGCAATTGGCTGCCACATTTTGTCAATTCACTTTACAGTATATTCCGTGAAGCGCTTTGAGACGTCTCAAAAAAGTGATAAGGCACTATATCAAAGACAAAGATTATTATTATTCAGTAAGGTAAAACTAAAGTGTCTCAAAATAGTCTAAACCCAACTCACGTTCTTTATTTGTGATGTTATTATTACAAGCTTAAAAACATTTTCAAAATGAAGACTGTATTTAGGGTGGCTGAATTCTGTTTGCTCTGAAATGCTCATTAATGGAGTTAATAAGTAGCTGCAGATGAAATTTTACCTCTGAGCTAAGACAGAGCAAGCTTCTAACCCAATTCCCCCAGCCAGTAGGCAGTCAAACAAAGAAATAATTTGCTCCTTGTTGTGAACAGTTTTTTCCAAATTGAAGGAAGCAGTAAATCATATTCAGGACATGATTACTTTGGGTTGTTGGGACAATAGATATTTTTATTATGTTCCTTGGAGAATCATTGCAAACTAGAGATAAGTATCTTGTTTGAAATGTACTTTGTTTTGCATTTTCCAGTTTCGCAACTTCATGATCTCATTCCCTCTAATCTACATTGATTTGATGCATTCTATTACGTCCTGTAGACATAATTAGTGCATCTTATGGATTTGCATTTCATCATACTGTATGTTTGATCCATCCCCCCCAGTCCCACATACCACCACCACAGACAAATGCGCACAATGTACACATACAGACAGACGCAAATACACAACACACACAGACTCCTGTTCTGTACTCTGAGAATCTGACTGGATATTGAGTGAAATCTTCATAAGACAATTTAACGTTGTTCTACAAAGGGCAACACCCAGAAATCGATTTCAAGATCCTCACACTCATTATCAAATCCCTTCATGCCCTGGCACCTACCTACCTCTCGCACTTGGTTGCTCCCCAACCCACTACCCGCTGCCTCCGCTCAACTGGCTCTGGCCTTCTGCATTTCCGTTTTGCCCTCCGTTCCACCATCAGTGGCCATAATTTCAGCCACTACACCCCAAAACTCTGGAACTCTCTTCCTTCCTCTATCCCTCCGCCTTGCCCCCTCGTTCCCCATCTTCAGGTCGTGCCTGTAGACCTTCCTCTTTGACCGTACCTACAGTCATCTCCCCTCCACCCTCTGGCTCGGCGTTGTGCTCCGCCACTGTCAAGCGCTCTGGGACGCTAACCTGCATGAGGGGCTCTATATAAATGCAAGTTGTATTGTTGTTGGTAACTCCCTCAGCTTTGTCCTGACAATGTGGTTTGGTCCAGATCCAAACCTCAGGCGACCATCAGCCACTGCAACAAACTGAAGGTTTCCACTATCCAAAACATCCTTGTGATTTGTCTTGTCAACTTAATTAGTGCCAAATTATGGCTGGTTCCGTATTGTTGATCTGCTCCAACTAGGGACTGGGCTGCAACTGTCTAAGCTCATTCCACCATGGATCTTTACATCCAGAAGCCAGATTAGGCTTTTATCTTATACAGTCAATTTATTTTACAGTATATTCTGTAAAGCGCTTTGAGACGTCTCAACAATGTTACCAGGCAGTATTCAAATAAAACTTTGATATCAACAACAACAACAAATTACACTTGTATAACGCCCTTCACGTCAGAAAGACATCCTAAGACATCAAATCAAATTATTATTATTCTCGTTCTGTGCTGGGCTCAGTACAACTCACTGAATCATTTTGCAGAGTTACCATGAAGGTTGGTTTCAGACATTTTCACATAAAGCATTTTAGATCCATTCAGCAGCAGCTCCTCTGAGAATCCCACTGTTTCAGCAGGGTCGAGAGTCGACAACCGAGTGAAAATTACAAACCTTGTACAAAGCAACACATGTATTGTGAAGCACTTACCAATTGAAGCTGTCTTTCTGAGTGACGATTTCCAGCTGCTGGTTCATAAAAGTCCACTTTCTATTGACTACACATGTGTAGATGGGCAACTACAGGTGTGTGGAGTCCTCTAACCGATACATTACAGGACTCCACACAACTGCAGGACTAAACAATGTGGCCTGGGAGCCACTTAAGAATACTCACTAACCTTTATTTTCAAAACAAAATATAATTCTGCAGTCTTTCTCTAAGGAGCAGAGATGGGCGCAGGCTGCTTAACAACCGTTGGCCGCTCCTGACTGATGTAAAAAATTAAAACAATCATGCAAATAACAAAGTTCCTACACTATATTTACTCAAGAACCACCTTCTACAACCGCAACAACAAAATTACATTTGTATAGCGCCTTTCACGTCGGGAGGATGTCCCAAGGCCCTGGACAGAGTTTCGGACCCGAGCTGGGGTTCGATCGGGGAGGGTGGAGGGCAGGGGGTGAAGCAGGGAGATCGAAAGTACAGTCAAAGAGGAAGGTCTTGAGATGTGTCTTGAAGGAGGAAAGGGAAGGGGCGAGGTGGAAGGACTGCGGAATTGAGTTCCAGAGGGTGGGGGCAGAGTGGTAGAAGGCCCGCCCGCCAATAGTGGGGTGCGTGAGGCGGGGGACGTGAAGCAGGCCAGAGCCCACTGAGCGGAGGGAGCGAGCAGGATGGTAGGGAGTTAGGAGGACGCAGAAATAGGGGGGAGCAAGACCATGGAGGGCTTTGAAGGCGAGGACCAGGATCTTGAACTGTATCCTCTGTGTGATGGGAAGCCAGTGGAGTCGGGCGAGGATGGGGGTGATAGGGTCGCGGAGTCTAGTGCAGGAGAGGACACAGGCTGCAGAGTTCTGGATGATCTGCAGCCTACGGAGGGAGGAGTTGGGGAGGCCGACAAGCAGTGAGTTTGCATAGTCGAGCCTCGATGTAATGAAAGCGTGTATGAGGGTTTCAGCGGCCTGCGGTGTGAGACAGTGGCGAAGCCAGGCGATGTTGTGGAGGTGGGGGAAGGCAGAGCTGGTCATGGTTCAGATGTGGGGTAGAAAGGATCAAAAGTTGAAAACAGGCTTTCCTGTTAGCCTTAAGGGTATCTTTCTTCTGAGGCACAAAAATCTTCATAAAATCCTACAATTTTACAGCGCAGAGGGAGGCCATTCGGCCCATTCGTGCCTATGCCGGCTCTTTGAAAGAGCTATTCAATTAGTCCCACTGCCCTGCTCTTACTCCTTAGGCCTCCAAATATTTCCTTTTCAAGTAAATATCCAATTCTCTTTTGATAGTTACTATCGAATCTGCTTCTACCACCCTTTCAGGCAGTGCATTTCAGACCGTACCAACTCTCCGGGTAAAAACATTTCTCCTCGCCTTCCCTCTGATTCTTTTGCCAATTATCTTAAATCTGTGTACTCTGGTTATCGACCCACCCACAAGAGGAAACATTTTCTCCTTATTTATTCTATCAAAACCCCTTGTGTTCGTAAACATAACATCATTGTCTTAAAATTTAAGATGGTGCAGAATCTTGGAAAATTCTTCAATTTACCCTTTATTTGGAAAACAGTTTTCGACAGCACTTAAGACTGAATTTAATAATTTTCCAAAATGTTCTACCAAATTACAATATTAGAGAACTGTCTTAAACCTATAAGACTATGAGACCACAGAGAGTATAGTGATTAGGCTTGGCTCCCCTTCTGCAGGGAATGGTCTGCCCAACACTCACAATCAAGCCTCACAAATGAATAATTGCAGTTGGGCATGGTACCAGAAAGCGTTGGCACCCAGCAGACCGTACCCCGAGTAGACAGAAAGGAGTCAAAAGCCTTCAGGAGTGGAGGAGTGAAGGGGAGAAAGATTGGCAGAACTACAAAAACTAAAGCTTTATTCCAACAATGTACCTGTCTTCGCAGATCCCTTGTTTTCTTCGTCATTTTGTCGATGGCAGCATTCAGTGGGTCTCCTTTCTCTTTCCTGCCAGTCTGAAATAAATGATATTTCAGTTAGAATTATGTTTAAAATACCATGACAATGAACATTCTTGGTGAAAGAGCTGTGATATTCCCCTTCAGTCAGTGCTATTGAAGCTGTTGAATATAATTCCAAAGCTGGAAAATCGATGCAGAATTGGACACACTTGCCAACAAACTTAAAACCATTAGTGCATGTATAGGAGCCGCACAGTATTGAATGGAAACCACTTAATTCAGAAATCACTGTTTCAGAAAAAAAAACGAATTTAGGCACCGTTGTTCATTCTGTTATGTCTATTCTGTCAGAATATAGTTCAGAAAGCACATGTTGGTAAAATAGCTGCATTGCGAGTCATTTTTCAATGTCAGGGATACACATATGAACAAAAATCATAAACATCCAGTAATATAAAGATTGAAACTTTGACTTGTTCCTCGTCTCTCCCACAGTTTTCGTTTTAAAAAGAACGATTCATAAAAGTTGCATAGAGGGAAAAAATAACAGGAGAAGCAGCGATTCAGGTCAAATATAGATTGCCGCCTATGCGGGTAATTCACGAATGAGAAGTGCCAAGCTTGCAGTTACAGGTCCAAAATTCCATCCAGTTTTAGTCTGTAAGACGATCTTCCCTTAAAATTTAACAACAATATGCATTTATTTAGTGCCCCTCATGCAGGGTAGCATTTCAAAGTGCTTGACAATGGCAGAGCACGACATCAAGTCGGTGGGAGGGGGAAGGGTGGGGCAAAGCAGAGGGATAGAGGGAGAGTGTTCCAGAATTTCGGGGTGAAAGTGTGGCCACCAATGGTGAAATGGAGGTACGAGGGACAAGTTAGAGGCCAGAGCTGATCGAGTGGAAGTCGCGGGTAGTAGATTGGGGAGTAAGTAAGGACTAACATTGTGCAAAATTGTGTAATCCAGTTCCAATTTTCCATAGCTCAGCTTAAAATAAAATGGTTTTGCAGGGTAACACAACAACAAACAACAACAACACATTTACACATATATAGTGCCTTTCACAGCAGGAGGACATCCGAAAGTGCTGGATGCTGCAGGATGTGCAACCAATCTGCCGGTAGGAGCCAGGGGAATGGGGGACAAAGAATATGGGGGGGGGTGGGGGTATGGGGGGGGGATGACGACTGAAAGCCATCAAAGAAGACAGGGTTACTGACCCACCCGGCAGGGGAAATAGTTTCTCCTTGTTCACCCTATCGAATACCTTCATAATTTTGAAAACTTCTAATAAGTCTCCTCTTGAAACGTCGAGAAGACGTGAAAAGCGCTGTATCAAATGCAACGATTATTATTATTATTATTAACCTCCTCTGCTCCAATGAGAATAATCCTAGCTTCTCTAATCTCTCCTGATAACTGAAGCCCTCATTCCTGGTACCATCCTGGTAAGCGTACACAAAGGAAACGCAGACCTTTTTACTATATTTTGGTTTGCTGTGTTTAGTCCCTGTAAAAAGACAAACAACAGATAAATAATTCCTTATGGCATGTTGACCTTCCGATTACACCAAAGCACTACTACTAGGAGCCTTGCGGACAGTAAAGTGTAGAGAAAGGCTGAGAGTTGATTTATTTTGCAGCAAGTTATGTAGCATGGCCTCTATATGACAACAAAATGAAACAGCCTCTTTAAACCAATGACCACTGCTATGACTGTTGACATCTGTTTTTTTAAGGTAACTTTGACCCAGATGCATCTTAAAACGCAACTGTGCCAGAAGTCAGCATAGCTTCTATCATGTCTGCATCACACTGTGTGAATAAGCATCATTTCTAAAGGCTCCCTTCTCTGCTTCTCCAGGCAGATGATTTCTGCTTTATCCACAAACTAGAAAAATGCACAACTTTGCATCCAGCAGTCTCACCAGCGAACCCCAGAGGCAATAACTTTCTGTCATTCCAAATCTATTTGATACCCTGATACGAGCAGCATATTTCCTACTGTACAGTTCAGCCTGGGGGAAGTGGGGGGAGACTGGGCTGTTACACCATTACGCAGGTCAATAAAGACAATCCACAGCATTGCCCAATTTATGTATCAAGCTTGTAAAGAAAACAATAGCCTTTATTTCAAGGGGATTCTGCTCCATTTATCAAATGTTAACTGTCGACAGTCTATTCACAAGTACAATATCCTCCTACAAGGGTTCGATATCATGTCATAGAGTGTGACAGAAATAGGGCTGTTTTATGTAGCTCGCTGTCGGTGGGAGCTCGGCAGTGGGGCGATGGAACAACATTGTAATGTTTAGGGCTGCTGCCCATTTGGCGAACGTCAAAGAAAAAAATGAGAATGTAAAGGATTTGCATTTTTATAGCCCCTCATCATGTTAGAATGTTTAAAATCCCTCAAATTACAACGGGCTACCACGTTTCGCCCACAAAATGCACAGTCAATGCACTTCTAGAGACCTGTAGCATATTGGTTAGAGCATTTTGCCCACAAAATACTTGACAGTATATTCTGTGATGTGCTTTGAAGGTGATAAGACACTATATCAAACACAAATGCAAGGATTGTTATTATTATTTACTGTCTAGTGCAGTGACTGTATGTAGGAAAATAAGGTAGCCATTTTGTGCCCAGCAAGATTCCTCAAACTGCTGTGAAGTGAATGATCAATTAATCTGGTGCTGGTCAGGAGACTGGGAGAAAATCCTGTCTCTATATGTCCTGGGAGCTCTAGTTACATGAAAAATGTTGTAGTGCAGCATCTGGCAGCTACAGGAAATGTTATCATACCTAGAATTCGCTCCTGGAAGGAAAAACAGTGGTGTCCGTCATACTGTAATCTTATAAATTACATTTTTCAAGAATATAGGAACATAGAAACATAGGAATTAGGAGCAGGACATTCAGCCCCTCAAGCCTGCCCCGCCATTCAATAAGATCATGGCTGATCTTATAACCTGACTCCATCTGCCCGCCTTATTCCCATATCCCTTAATACCTCTAACCTTTAGAAATCTATCAGTCACAGTCTTGAATATGTTCAAGGACTGAGCATCTACAGCCTTCTGGGGTAGAGAATTCCATAAATTCACTACCCTCTGAGTGAAAAAGTATTTCCTCAACTCTGTTCGAAAGGGCTGGCCCTTAATCTTAAGACTGTGACCCCTAGTTGTAGATTCTCCTACCAGGGGAAACAGTCTCACACTGTCTACTCTGTCAAACCCCATAAGAATCTTATATGTTTCTATAAGATCACCCCCTAATGCTCCTATATTCTAGAGAATATAAGCATAGTTTACTCAGCCTATCCTCATAGGTCAACTCCCTCATCCCAGGAACTAACCTAGTGAATCTACGCTGCACCCCCTCTAAGGTGAGTATGTCATTTCTTAAATAAGGAGACCAAAACTGCACATAATACTCTAGGTGCGGTCTCACCAAGGCCTTATACAGTTGCAGCAAGACTTCCCTACTCTTGTACTCTAACCCTTTTGCAATAAACGCCAACATGTCATTAGCCTTCCTAGTTGCTTGCTGTACCTGCATACTAACTTTTTGTGACTGGTGTACAAGGACACCCAAATCCCTCTGAACACTAACACTATCTAGTCTCTCCCCTTCTAGAAATGAATCTGCTTTTCTGTTTTTACTACTAAGGTGAATAACTTCACACTTCCCCACATTATATTCCATCTGCCACCTTCTTGCCCACTTACCTATCTAGGTGAACGGGGACTGGGGCAGAGACTCTTCCCACTCAGCTCCCGTTAACCTTACAAGGTAAAGCCCTAACAGGTAGGGAAGCTTAACAATGGCAAGCTATGCAGTTTTAGCTGGTTAGACTGTTTTAACAGTACCCTAATACACACTCTGGGGTCCCTAAGCCTTGGCTCTTGCCAACCTTGCCTAATACTTTCCAGAATTGGGTAAGCAGGATATGTCTCCAGGGAGAGAGTGTGCATTCCATTCCAATACATGGGAATTTCAATGCTTAGGTGGGATACATAGAATTCTCAGTTTGGTTTGGATACTCTTAAGGCTGGTGTTGGGTTTCCGCATGTGTCAGACACCCGACTGACCAAATGTAACTACTGAGGAATGGGTTTTGTTTGGGAAATGGAGGGTGTCCCATATGGTACTATATTTGGCACACCTTGATATAATAACACTGAACAAACAGCCACAAAGATCATTGCCCAGGTCTCCCATGCGTTAAAGACCACCCTGTAATTTTAAAACAAATTAAGCTACAGCTGTGTTTCAGTGGTTGTCCAAATACAATGCTGCAGCAGCATGAGATTCAAATGATGTCCTTTCTCCTGTCAAGATACTCTCAATTCTTTTTGCTGGCATCTATTGTGGTGATCTCTATTTTTGCTTTCTATGCAGGTATCACTGAAGCTGTTCGTTTTGTTAAGGGTCATGCAAAATTACAGTGATGTGTCATATTAATGTGCAATTTAGGATCCATTTGGGGGGAAGGGCATGATATGGGGTGAGCATGAGTATCACCATTCCTATTTCTTTGGTGACTGCAGGGTTTTGTAATCCACGGAAATGGCTGGAAATCTTTATTTAGAAATACAATGCAGCACAAATTATTAACCACTGAACTTACATTTTGCAGTTTAACTCCTTCACTAGCCTAATCCTTGTTGTTTAAAGAAGGACAAAGCTGCATTTTTATTATTAATAATAATCCTTACATTTGGTACAACACATTTCACATCAGGAGGACGTCCCATTGCACTGCACACTGTGAATCTACACTCTAATGCTTTAAAAGAGGAATGTTTAATAGCCAATATAGTATCTCAGAAAATTTGATTAATTCCCTTGTAGAAAAAAGTAATATGTTCTTCAAACTGGAGATTTCAATCCAGTGGAAGCAGAAGTCATTGTCTGTGTAGGGGGATGATTCAGGATGATCTGCACCAAATCTCACAAAACACTAAAGAACTAGTCTTACAGACCTTTCAATAACACAGTTCTCCTACAAGCACCTTTGTAAAAAATAATGCACAAAAACATCAGCAC